ATAAAATTTTTGTTTTAATTATATTTTAACATTTAAAGATTAAAGCAAAAACCGATGTTTTTAGAATATATTTTAATGTCTAATTTTCAATGTATTAAAAGCACAATACTTTTATTTACGACACTTTTTATTTTCGTTTAATTTTCTTTATGTAAGGATTTAATTTTAAAAAATTGTGTTAAATCGATACTCAAAAGTTTCGAAGTGTATTGTTGCCTCTTTTGTAGCTGTCATCGCGGACATCGCATATTTTGACAGTTCGTACAGCTTGACAATTCATTGTTACAATAGTCAAGAAATAATTTATATAAATAAATTTGTTTATAATTGTAACTTCGTGTTATATATTATTGTTAGTAATAGATCGCTGATATTAAGAAAACAATCATGAAAAATAAGAAGCAGAAATCTTTGAGAAAGAGAGAGAGAGAAAGAGAGAAATTGTTATAGTTTTAATATTTCTTGAGCGATTATATAATAGTTTAAATAATTTTATTCATTATAAATAAGAATCTCCTTCTGATGTTAATATTAATGCAATATTTACAATGTATAATGTAATAAATCAAGAAGTTTGTTACAATTTTGATATTTCTTGAGAAATTATATAATTGTTTTAGTAATTTTATTTGTTATGCTTGAGAATCTCTCTGATGTTAATATTAACAACATTTTTACAATATATGAACGAAAGAATTAATTAATATAAAAGAAAGCAATCAATTTTCCGTATGTTTCCATATCACAGCAATAACAATGAATTCCCTCTTCAATAAATAATAATTTTTTTTTGTAATATCAATTTTAATACTAAATGGCGCGCGCTTGTTAATGTTCCGGATAGAAAAATATTCTGTATGCGCGAGCACATTTCAACCCCTAATTCAACGTATATTGTAGAATATCCGTGTCCTGCATTTGACAATTCCTCCTATTTCGTCGCCCGGATACCCTCGGTATCTTTTTTCCTCGCCCGCAAAAAAATCGCGATGTCACCGCGATTTGATTATTTCGAAAGATACGAACACCTTTTATCCTCGCGCAGTCCGCGTGCGATCGGAGTCTCGGCTCTCCCGGCTTTGGCCGCGCTTCGAAACAGTCGATGGAAATAATTACATTAATGGCGTCGCCGACAAGAGAGAGACAGGGAGTAAGAGGGAGAGAGAGAGAGAGAGAGAGAGCAGCAACCCCGGGCGTACTGCCTCCTCGCTTCCCTCCTCGCTCTCGTGTGTCGCAAAACATCCCTTCGAATGGAAGCGGAGGCACCTCGGCGGAAGCGTAACGCTCTCTCCCACCCCCCATCCACCCCCTCGCTATCGCCGCGAGTTATATACAGAATAGCGCGTTCCTGCACCTCCCTCGCGCAAAAGCAGCGAGCGAGCGAGCGAGCGAGTGAGCGAGCCCGCGCGCGCTTTCTTCGCCGACAATGGCGTAATGCCATTCTCGACGGCGGTAACGCGACAATAGTGCCGCATCCCGCCGCTGCAAAGTAATTATCTTAATGTTCTCTGACGAGCCGGTGCGGTGCGGAATGAAGACACTCGTTGGAGACGACGACGACGACGATGACGACAGGGACCGCCTCGTCGAGGGGTTGCCAGCTCCCGAAACGCAGATTCGTCCTGCGACAAATCGCACCTGTCTCTGGGAACGCGATCGATGTGCGTGTGTGCGTTATATCTATGTGTGTATGGAAACCGCGAATCCTCGATGACTCGCTCGTCGTGCAAAAGATGACGCATTTAATTATTATCGTTAGATCGGGTTAAATACAAGTGCGGAAACTTTTATCGAGATTTTAAGATGAAAAGGGTTTTTTTTTTTAAAATACGATGCAGAAATTTTTATTTTCATTACTTTCATTGTATAAATTTGAAAGAGAATGATATAAAAAATAAAAGCATATATTATATATGGACATATTTTTTATATATAATTATATTAATTTATATCAAATTGTATATAAATTTCTCATTCTCGGGTTTATCTAATTGTAAACATATTATATTTAATAAAAGTAATCAAAAAGCTAAAAAAGACGCATTTTTTTATAATCATACACATTTCAATTACATATCTTGTTCATTGCATTCGAAATTATAAGAGCGTCAGTTTTTGTATATCATGTGAAGTACATAGAGTAAATATAAATATACAATATCCGTGTGTTTCGGAATTTTCTAAAAAAAAAATTCACAATTTAATCAATCTCTACTATAATCAATCTTATATTTTAATTGAAAATTCAAAACAGAGAAAAATTTTATTTTCTATTTTTTCTTTAACGCATCATGTTGATATCAACCTTCATCGAGGAGTTTTATTTGTGCTCTGTAATAAAGCCTGAATCGTGGAAGGATACGAAAATCGTACAAGAAAGAATGAATAATTGCTTCCTCATAGAGGAAGCTTTGTTTTCGTGACAAAATTTTTTTTCGAGTTTTCTATGCCACTGTCAACATAACGTAACGTATCCTTTGAACACGTTTCATTTCTGTATGCAAACTGCAATCTCAAAACGCAATTTGTACGCTTTGCACACAAAATCACTCGCGATCGATTATATGTGTAGAAAATCATACAAAATTCTCGAAGGCCTCGATAGAAGAGAAATCCATAATTCCATTGGTATGCCTGCAAGCGAGTGATCCTTTGTCACAGGTCCTAGATGGTGGTGAAGGAGGGTTACAGATCCCGTCTCGGTAAGAGAGAAGGCGAGAGAGACAGAGAGAGAAAGAGAAAGCCCGCGTTTTACCGTGACCACGCAACGCTTGTATTAACCCCTTCTATTCTCCCATTTTCTCTCACCCCCCCTTCTCTCGCTCGCTCTTCTCTTTCCAATCTCAATTAGTCATTACGTCTCACAGCATAGGCGATGCCCTTCTCGAAACTCCCTCTAGAGTCCGCGCCTGGTTTCCGCATTAATTGCGTCTCGACGACGCTCGCAACCCCCCTACAACCCCCTCCCCTCCGCCCACCACCTTCTCCTCCTATATAGGGTGTTTTCGAAAGGATTAGTGTCGACGCCACGAGCCGCATAATTCGACTAAAACCCCTTCTCTCCACTTGGGGAAATCAGATCGGGCGACTAATCCGCCCTTAACTCGGCGTGCATGCGCTTGAATCGGAAGCTCTTTCCGAGAAATGTCGAGGCGATATTTTCCCCGATAATGGCCGCGCGTTACGTATCAATGTCGTTGGTTGGTCTCCCTGTCCGCGAAGACGATCCAAAACGCGATATTCAAACGTGCTGGCTGGCATCACGTCAACTGGCGGATCTGCATTTTCTTCTCGCGAAGATTGTTCTCAAGAGAATTAAAAAGAAAATAAAATTTATATATAACGGATTTCTTCAAATTACAAACGTTTCGAAGAAACCGAGTTTTGAAGATACAAATGTGTTTCTTTGAGAATTTAAATGCCTTTTTCGGATTCTCGAAGATTCGCCAACCGCTCGCCTGCCCTGTCTCTTTCTTCCTCTCGCGGAAGAAACACCCCGTAGATCGCGCACGTGTATCTTACGCACGCGGCGACGCAGTTTTCAGCGCGCAAGTCGCACGAACGGGTTCCTAGGGTTGCACTTCGCCGACCCTTTCCGGGCTCTCTTTCTTCCCCTCCCCCCCTCTTTCCCCCGTTCATCCGATCCCTGCCACACACCGCTGCTGGATACAACCAACCACCCACCCACCTACGAAACCGGGGAGGCAGTCGCTAATTACGCAACGCGTTCGAGCGTGTTCCTCGGGGTGGCGACGTGGCACCGCGATGGAGATCCGGATTTCTCTCCTCCCTCCTCCCCATCTCCCTGCTTCACTCACCGTTGCGCCCGCACGGGCTTTCCTGAACCTGCTAAGCCCTCCCTCTCTCTATCTTGTACCCCGTTAAGCTGCGTCCCCAACGAGCGTTAATTGTAATGATAATAATAATAATTGTAAAAATATACATATAAAATAATATCTATCATCTATTATTTTTAAAATTCTATAAAAGCAAGAAGTTTATTTCATTATGTTAGGTGTTAGTATTATTTTATGTCCATTGTAAGAAAAACTGAAGACAAACTTCAAAGTGTCTACAGTTTTTTTACGGACACACTGTCTGAATTTTCAAACACACTTCAATTTTTAGACACACTTCAATTTTTAGACACACTTTACTTTTCAGACATACTTCGATTTTCAGACACTTCAATTTTCAGACACAATCTTCTGAATTTTCAGAAAAAACGATTCTGATGATTAAGATAGATTGTCTGAAATTTTTTTAGACAACCAGATTTGAAAATTCAGGCAAAAATGTGTCTGAATTTTTAGAAATTTTTTTAGGGTATATTCGAGTACCTATCTTCAGTATATTATATTTCCCTATAAAGTAATCCAATGACACGATTTTATTTTAAGCATCGAAAGCCTCGAAATTGTAAATTCCTCGAGTTTGCAATGTATCTTTGGGGAATTTTAAAAGTATCGAAGATACTAAGTGTACAATATTTTGGAATCTTGCAAAGCTCTTTGGAATCGATTATTGCGGATGAAGCTTCATCCTTCACATCGTGCTCTCTCACTCTTGCCTTTGCGTGATCGCTCGCTCTCCACCTGCTGCGAGCTCGCAGAATGAAGTTTCCATCGCCTGCCGGTTCCTGCCGGCTTCTCGTCCCCCTCGGTCGAGGAGCCAACCAACCGATTTAATTTGCAGGATCAATGTGTCGGGAAGGCTGCGTGGATAATCTCGCGCATCCGAATCACACGGTCCACGCGCGCGAAGATGTTACACAAGTCGCGTCGGGAGAGGATTATTAATTAGCTCACATCTCCTAATTGCTATCTAACCGAGATCATCGAGTTCGTATAGATTTTTGTACGAAATCGTGCGCCTGATTGGATCATCGAGATAGAAACCCCAAATTTTGCAAACAAATATTTAATAATTTTTTCGTAAAGTTATTTAAATAAATATGCTCGTGTATGATTACGTCGATTTATCAAGCGTCGTGAATTTTTTCTTCGTCAATAGATAATTGGATTTTCAAACACTGGGACTTTCGGTCCTCCTGTATCTCTATACGGCTCTATTGGACTTGCATATCTGGGATATAAATTCTGAGAGCGATCATTAACGCGAGGACGAACAATTTTCATGGACGGGCGCGAAACAAGAACCCGTGAGTGTCGCGGAGAAGAGGAAGGAGAAAAGGAGACAATATATATATCGGACGGGCTATACTTAAATTACCTAGGAAGCATTCATACGTGGGATAAGCATTGTCATCCCAAGGGATTGTCTCGCAGACACCTCACGGGCACGCTTTATACTGCACGGGAGAGTAGGGGGAGGCACATTAGGGTAGAAGAAGCCGAAGCGGTGAAAAGAGGGGAAGGGGTGGGAGAGGGGGGCAAGAGGAGAAACCTTTATTAGGTAGATAAGCGAGATGCGAATGCGTTATATAGATGCCCATCCTCGTTTTACTCACTTCAATGCCTAATGGAATTGAGTTCTTGCAAGGGAA